CCCAGTTCGGGTTAGGAAAGAACCTCAAAAATAGTGGAGGTTTTGGGAATGCTGTGAAACGGTACCTGGCCAGCCGTGATGGACAGAAGGGAGCAGATTGCCATTCACGGGTACGGCAGAGACACAGGTCCTTGAAGAGCTTCTTCGTGAGTGGCTTCAAGTGTAAATATGCTTCATCCTTCTGAAATGTAGGGCTGATTTCAGGATAGTTTTTACACCGCTATGCGTAAATCCTCTTGTAGGGTTACAATTCCACGTTTCGAGGTTTGCAATTAGTAAATCGAAATTAGAGCAAACCGCGCAACTCTATCGGTTGCATTTGTTACCGCCTCGAAAAGGAGACTGCAGGATGTCGCTGCGATCATCAGACTTCCCGCCCCAGGGAAGTAGCATTTCAGCAGAGAAAGCATTTTGACGAGTTCCTGGAAGTTTAGGAGCCTTTTCCAAACTGCCAACTGGGAAACTAGTGGTAGAAAAGTTCAACTTTTCGTTTGGTTCTTCAAACAAATTTCGCGGTGCGTGGCCAAACGCTTCTCCCGGCGAAGGGAAGGTGCCCTCCCACAAGAAAGCGCAGCCGCACACCGTGTGGGTCTGCGGGCCGGTTTGGAGAAAGCCGCTAGGGCAGCCGGAGCGACTGACATGAGACAGGGGGACAGATACTTTTTGAGACTGACCTTGGGTGCTGCGGTTCCGCCTTGCGACGGCGGAAAGGAGGCGTCGGGGCCAGCCAAGGTCCCCTGCCTGGCGCTGGGAACCGCAGGCTCCTTTGTGCTTCCCCGGGGGAAGCGGAGCGTGGGGTCAGGCTCCGCTGACTCCAGGGCACCGGGAGAAGGCGAGACTGGAGGGGTGAGGGCGGGAGGCACAGCGGGCAGCCGTGCTTCGTCATGCGTTCTCTCCGCCGCACCCCGTTCTTCCAGTGGGAGATCCTGTCCACTCCAAGGGACGCCCTGAGAGCGGGAAGAAAGGCTCCCATCGTGTGTAGACCTGCCAAAGGGTACGTGGATCCGGGAGGTCTTCAGGCGGGGCGTTTAGAAACGCGCTTCAAAGCCGGTCGGGCTTTTCGCCTGAGTGTCAGCTTCTTCTCCCTCCCATCACGGAACCGAGCAGGGCTACTGCTGCAGGAGCCTTTGGAGGTTTCTATGAAAGCAGGGACGGGGAGGAAAACGTGGCGCTCGGTTTCAAGGCTAAAAAACAAATAGGTTTGCCCCTATTGGCAGCGGCAGTGAAGGTTGCCCGGACTCAAGGGCGCAGGGCTCTGCACCCATGGCAGGCCAGTGCGTCCACCCGAAAGGCGGCAGACGGGACGCCCGGTGCTCCCGGTGGCTT